CCATTTGAGACCATTCTGAGAATTACACCAAGTGAACTTTCTCCCCAACATTGGTAAGTCACACACTTCCAGGTTATCAATTAACTCGTTAAAGTCCTTCATACCACCACTTCTTTGAGAACAGCCCACCCTCTCAGATAATGTCCTAATCTCATTAAAGTCACCACCCAAGCACCAAGGATTAACAAAGCTTCTCTTCAAATTCTTCAAAGTTTCCCATAATCTTTTCCTATTAGCACCATCAGTCGGGCCATAAACATTCACAATAACACAAGCTATACTTGTAAAAAGGGTGCCAGACAAAATAATAAAATACCTGTTACAACAGCAGTCTAGAAGTTGAAACACTTGTGGATTCCAGACACACAGTAGACCACCAGCTGTACCCTCTCAGTCCACAGCCATATAGGCCATCTGTTCCCCAGGCCAACAAGATCTGACAAATTCAGCAGTTATAGCAGGTCTCTTTGTTTCTTGAAACAGTGCCACATCCAACTTTCTTTCAAATAGAAGTTTTTTGATTTTCCTCCTTTTAATGGACTTGCCTAGCCCTCTAACGTTCCAAGATAAGAGCTTCATTAAAACAAATTTCCTCACCAAAAACTCCACAGCAGATACAAACTACTCTGCCTTACTACCCTTCTTACCCAGCACCTCCTTATCCTTAACTTCCAGTTCCATCAATTTGCTAATTACTTCCTCATCATTCCCTTTACATTTCAGCCCTAGCAACTTCCCTATCTTCAGAGTCGCTTCTACCTCATTCAGGAGCAGCTGACCAAAACCCGATTTGCTTGCCATGGACAAAGAAATAGTTGCAGCTGCCGACCTAAAAATGGCCCCTTTCCTGAAATTCAAAACTGATCCAACCCCTATTTGTAGGTTCCCTTTTTTCTTCCTATGATATTTCACCAACCCTTTACCTTTCTCTTTTGTTGTAGTTTTCCTTTTTTGATCTCCCACTGCCGTGTTACTTCTTGTTTCACCGAAAGGCTCCTTATCCACACTGACAGAAGTTGCCTTTCCATTGCTATTTTGGACTGCATCCTCCTCTGTTAGCAGATCATTTGGGTCACTTAATTCAAAAGATCTATGGCCCAGAATGGTACCACATTGTAAGCTATGGGCCTTCCTTAATACCACCTCTATATTAAGCCCAGGTGCATTCTTTTCTGGCCCACTAAGACTCTTCATAAAGCCTGGAGTAATAACATCATCTACTATAATCTGGTTACCTTCATTTTGAATTTGAAAAGGTGTTGGCCTTGATTTGACTGACTGGGACCCGCAAGCTTCAACTTCATCTCCAGGATGCTTCTGCAAGCAGTCCAGCTGACCTATCGACATGACAGTCTCCTCAACCCTAGACATACTTAGCTCCCTCAGTTGTCCATCAGTGGCTGTATAGTCATCATATCCTACCCTTGGCCTCCTTGCCTTCGCATCACCTGTGTTATCCAGCACCCTACCAACGTGGCCCTTTACATCAGCTTCATCTTCACCCTCCTTGCTCCCCACAATAGACCTCTGCACTTGATCCTGTTCCTCACCATTTGAAGTTGAATTTTCCGTTTGGGGCTGTTCACCATAACATCTGCATTGCTTGTTTATCACCTCTGAAGTCACCCCCTGTTCTTCACAAACCTTGACTGGGAAATCAACCCCTTTGCATCGCAGGATAATAGTTGTGTTTATGGCCTCCATACACCTAGTTGCAATTCTCACCTTACCACTGTGGAAAGACATCATGCTGGATGTGCCCTCATCAATGCCTATGACCTCCCCCCATGTCCTTCCAATGCTTCTAAACGTTTTGCAGCTCCAGAGATTTAGGGGAACACCATAACACGTGAGCCATACAGATCTTTCTTGATCAAGAATCATCCCCTGCTGCCATACCTTGACTGATTCGCTCCATGGCTGAATCCACCCCTCCATTGATTTGAGCTTCTCTTGCATTGTAGCCGCTGATTCAAACGTTAGCACAATATCTCTTCCCCCTCCATCTCTAACGTAAACATTACCCATTCCTCTGTTCTTCAATTCCTCTTTGAACTCCACCGCAAGACTTTGAGGTTTCAATCGGACAATCACACTTTCATACAGCCATCCATTGCCCTCCTCGTAAGCTTGTATGCTGATGTTTGAATCTGGAACCAGCCCTGGACCACTCAATATTTGGGCATAAGACTTACCCCTTTGTAACATATTTGGAGCTCTGCTGTTTATGTCAACATCCTTTCTTCCAACCGATGTGATTACTGGTTTGTGGTTAGCCTTTTTTCCTTGAACAAAGTCTGCTACCTTGACTTTCAAAGCTCTGTTATCACACCAATGCCATGAGCTTTTTGTACCGCCATACTCACTGCCACTGGACAAGCGTATCGGACAAACCCAAACCTTGATCGAGTCAGCTTTCTCCTTTTGTTGGGGATGAACACATCCTTCACTATCCCATAATTTGTGAATATGTTATACAGCCCTTTTGGATCCATAGATTCTGGGAGATTATCCACAAAGATCGTATGAATCTCCTTACCCAGATCTGAGTCCCTACCTCCCTTGCCACCATGCTTGCGCAGAACCGGTTTCCACCCTCTATCTTCCATTTATATTTTGTCAAAATGTTGGAAGTCTTGAAACAGAATTCATCTTTATATCCCATGCATGTTTGGGCTTGAAGGTTAATTTAAAAATTAATTTACAAAAATAAACAGTGGAAAGTATGATATTTAAATGAGAAAGAAATATGCTATAAAAACCATCAAAGCGTATGATTTTTCAAAAAATAATATAGTATGCAATAAAAAAATAAATAAAACTTTAGCATTAAAAACAAGACCCACCTCAAACAATGGCTGTAAAAATTTTTGGTTTGGAAGATTAATACTCAAACAATTTTATCGTGTGGACCTACCTCATGTGAAACCATGAAACAGTTTTGCTACAAATTTGTATATAATAAAGAGGAAAAAGGATAAAGGAACAAATTGTCCCTACATATAACTCATGATATACCAAACTTGGATAAAAAATGGGAAATTCACACAATCTCACCCCTTCAATCCTCTTTTCTCCTCTTCATCTTTGAATTTTGTCAAACATAAAAAATAAAAATTGGACAAAGTTTGAATGTATGTGAACATGTTGGTGGATTTATAGAAAGAAAAAAAAAAGGATAAATTACACTCACCTCTCCTTAAGTTTGACAAAAATATAATTAATCTTACAAATTTAATAGAATTACACTAAGAAACTCAATTTTAGTAAGATTAAAATCATCAAAACTATTGCAGATAGTGGATGAACACATAACTAAACAAAGGTAAAAATATATTTTAGTAGAAAATACACGACTTTACTTTTTTATCCATATGACTCACAAATTATAAATGAAAAAAAAAATTAAATATTTTATGAATTAAAATATTGGTGTAATTATATTAAAAGTATAAGATTAACTGTATTTTTTTCAAATCTCAATGGGTGAGGGTAATTTATGAAGAGAACAAATTATAAACTAAAGTGAGAGCGTTCTTTAATAGTACCTTGTGCACTACAGTTGGAATATATGTGCAGCATGCATGAGTGTGACTTCACGTAGTAAAAGAAAAAAAAAAAAAGATTATTAGAAACGAGAAAAGTCTCTCAATTCTGTCAAAAAAAAATTCTCAGACAGATAGCACGCGTAAAAGCTTGAATTATTATAAATGAGGCAATTTTATTATTAATTTAGATTTTTTTGAACATGTGTAATTATTTTATTTTTGAAAAAACAGTAAGATTTGAACATATAATCAATTATTTGATCTCATACCATATTGAATTTTTGAATTGTTAATCACTTTGCTATCCAAAAACTTAAATTATTTGACAAAAATAAGTAACTTCATAATTTACATTCTGAAAAGAAGTTGGATTAGGGTGTTATCCAGACTCGAGGGACAAATGTGTCTACAAAAATGACCGAGAAATATATTTTTAAAAATAATTAAACCATCTAATTTTTTTTTATGACAAATGTGATAAATTACATAGGCTATAATTATCAAATTAACCATTTTTTTTTATATGAATGATATCCATGAAGGACTTTACGAAATGAATAATTCAGATCATCGAAACAAGACCTGTGATAGTAAGGCTGCAAATGAGCCGAGCTAAGCCGAGCTGAGTTTTTGAGTGTTCACACTTTTTATTAAGAATTAGTCGAGCTTAAATAATCAAGCTCAAGCTTTGCTTGTCAAATATTTGATAAACTCGAACTCGCTCGATTACATAAACGAGCCAAGCTCGAACTTGAAAAAAAAAAAAAAAACCAAAATTAATTTACTTATTAAGATAAAAAAAAATACAAAATTATTAGTAAAATATACAATAATTTTTATATTAAGAATAATTTCATCAATCAAATATGTACATTTACACAAACACCAAACATAAATAGAAAAATAAAATAGATTATTGAAAATTTATTTGATATATTATTAAATATAAATATTTATTTATTTATTTTTATATTCACAAGCCTTATCGAGCCGAGCTTAGGGCTGCTTGAGCTCAACTCGATTAATAAACGAGTCTAAAAATCGAGCTCAAACTCGTTCATTTAGTAAACGAACCGAGCTCAAGTTATTCATAAACAACTTGGTTCGTTTGCAACCATACTCAGGTTTAGACAATGCCCTCCAGATTTTGGACTAGAGGAAACCCAATCTTACACTTTGAAGTATTACATAGACGACATGGAATTCCGAAAAATGAAAAACTACAACACGCACAAGTTGTCAATCGTTCTTGATCTCTCAACTACCTAACAAATGCGAGTCAGCACCCTTCATTCATAAAATTTTTCCACAACATCATTGATTGATTTAAAGCACCACATGAATAATACCACGTAACAATTATCCTTTATAAACTTCATAACTCGAGATGTTATACCTCCTGCTAGAATATTGTGCATCCTTCTTTGCTGTATTCTTCTATACGAGCTAGCAATGTCTGGTCCTTGTTGCAACCAACCAGTGAACATTGTGATCCCACTGGCTTCAAATTTGGATGATGAATGGCTAGAATCCATAATGAATGAAGGAGAGTCCTCATCCTCATCCTCAAACAACACACCAATGCCAAAGCATAAGAAGATACCCAAGGTCCTCAAGATGCTTCCGCAGATGGAATCCAACAAGGAATGCTACGAACCAGAGGTGGTTTCTATCAGTCCCTACCACCATAGCCAAGCCAAGCTCCAATCATTTGAGAAACTAAAAATTCGATTCACCAAAGAGTATGTCAAAAGTTTTAAGCCAGAAACCTCGGCAACTGCACTATATGAGCAGGTTGCAGATGTGGCTGGTGAAGCAAGAAACTGCTATGCTGAGGACTTGACAGAAAGCTTCGATGACAGAGCCTTCACTCAGATGCTGTTCCTCGATGGTTGCTTCATCATTCACTACATCAACATCTGCATGAATGACAAGGAAGAGCAAGACAAAATGCAGATGAAGATGAAGAATCACGACAAAGCTTTCGTGCGACGTGACTTGTTCTTGCTCGAAAACCAACTTCCTTTCATAGTCCTCAATGCTCTGATGAGCATGAACTCAGACTTTGAAGGGAATAAGGGATTGAAGTTGATTGAAGATTTCATTAAGACCACAATGGCAAGGCCTCCTGAAGATTCACTTCTAGAGAAGGTGGAAAATTCCATTACAAAGCATGTTACAGACCGGAAAAGAAAGAAGCTTCCAGAACCGCAATCACAAGAACCTGCTGATCATCTTCTAGAACTCCTGCACAGGCAACTTATTAACCCCAAGGCTTTCGGAGTTGTTTCTGAAAACAAAGGAGGAGGAGGCAGCAGTTGTTGTTACTCGTATCCGCTTATGAAGAAATTTATTGACTTTGTTTCTAGAAAAAAAGAAGGCAACAGTTGGTACTCGTATCGTTCAGTACAGGAGCTTAAAGCAGCAGGGATCCAATTCAGGCCCAACAAAGAACGCAATTTTTTTGCAGATGCAAGGTATGAACCTCAATTCATTAGAGCAATCTTAAGACTTCCTCCAATGACCATTGATGACTCAACCAAAGCTTTACTATTAAACTTGGTAGCCTATGAGATGTGTCCTGATAGTTCCAATGACTTCGGAGTCACCTCATATCTATGGTTTATGGATACACTCATTGATCAGGCTGAGGATGTGAAGGAGTTGAGAAAGAAAGGCATAATTCTCAACTTCCTTGGAAGTGATCAGCATGTGGCTGAGCTCTTCAATGAGATTGCCAAAAACTTAGTCCCAAACCCTAATGCTTGTGAAGATGTTAAAAAACGTATTGAAAGGCACTATAAGAACAAGGTGAGACTCTGGATGACTGAATGGTTGTACGCCCATTTTAGTAGCCCCTGGACTTTACTTGCTTTCCTTGGTGCACTTTTAGCAATTGCTCTAAGCTTTGTTCAGGCTTACTATGCTGTTAACCCTAAAAAATAGCAGAAAATGAGTGATTATTCCAACCTGGCAAGATCATTTCATTAGGGATTTTGAATAAAAAGGATGCGGCAGATCTGTTGGTTGTATCTGTGGCTTCAAATTTGCATTTTTAAACCCAGATAGTGTCACTTGAGGAGTATATCCACTGCTGCTGCTGGAGACTTGCTTATATTTTTTGTTTTGTCAATGTTTTTCTGGTTGTTTGTTCTTAATTTGTTTATTTATGTTTGGTTGTGTTGTGATTTTTCTTTTGGTGAGCATGAAAGAAAATAAGAGTTGAGGGGAAAAAAAAAGGAAGAAAGACAGAACGTAAGAGAAATGCAATGTTTGCTTCTGTTTGGTTGTGGCTCTTCTCTCAATTGGAGAGAGATGTTTGTAATGTTGTATTCATTATTAGCACAAATATTGTGTGCATACTCATGCCATGGTTTGACAATATTCTCAATGAATGGAAGCATTTGGTTTGTTGTGTGCTGAACTTGCCACATCAAAGACTCAGAATCCTACCCGTTTCAATTCATTTAGGTGTAGCACAAATTGTTTTATCAATTATACCATGTTACTATAAGGGGAAAAAAAATGCATTGATAAGAATAGAGCTTTGAGCTTGAGCATAGCTCAAGTAGTTGTACCTCTAGCGATTTGGGATTCGGGATTCAAGCTTATGAAAAAACATTGAACATCAATTATGTTATAAGCTAACTTAACTTACTAACCTATTAATATCTACCCAAAAAAATAATAATAAAAATAAAGGGAATGGAACTTTGGTTTTAGATTTATTCATGTTTGTCCTGTACATACAGCCAATAAAATGGTGTAACAACCTATCTTTTACTTTGCCTAAATGTTGGGAGATTGTGACAATTCACCTTTATACCTCCATGATTGTAACATAATGTTAGACATCGTAGGCCCGAATGTTGGGAGATTGTGACAGAATTCACCTTTATACCTCAAGGGGTTGGCCTAGCGGTGAAGACTCGAGGATAAAATCCAAATGAGTTCGAGTCACCCCAAGGGGCAACTGGAGGTTTGCTCAGTCATTCTACATTATATGCATTTCCAGAGAAATATTCCCAATCCCACTTTATTATGTTTCTGGAGGTGTTACATTCTACATTTGATTGAAAGTGTTGATTACTAGGTAAGTGTGTACCAGCAAATTCATAATGTGATCATTACGAAGTAGATGATTCATAACACATTCACTGTATCATAAGTCCGGCTATCTTGATTGTACTCCTCTTTTTAGGATAGGTAGTCTTATACAGATGAACCAGGTCGTATATTTACAGCACACAAAAAATTAATGCAAGCCAAGGAGATAGACTATATGAGAAATCACATAACAACAAATTAATAATGATCAATATACCTTTTATGGGTAACAGAGAGGTTTACTTCAAGGCCTACCCAGAAAACTATGATTTCAAAAAAACTGAACAACAGCAACTCATACCATTAATTTGACATGTATAGGAAAAGTAAATGTTAAGAGGCAAAAGCATCATTACCTTTAGCATACAACAAAACAGAATTCCAAGAGATCTTATTCCCTATCCTGTACTAAGTTGTTGATCATTCTTAGCAATGGAGGAGTGCCCTTTGCCATTATCTCTATCCTAGAAGTATTAGAGGCATGAGAAAAAAGGGACAGCCCAAAAAATATAAGCTCAGGAAGGAATAGCCGAGACGACAAGAATCCATGCCAATAACGAGGTTCTAGGTCAAAGAAAGCATCAAAAAACCTTCTCGTGCCTTGTAAATCAAGCTTAAGCAGAATATCCATACCAAAACAAAAGAATTCTCTTTGGCGTCTCCGTTCTACGGGCCACAGATTTCTCCAAACTTCTGCTGACAAATTGTTTCCTGAAAGGCTTGTTTCAGAACCAAGGTACCGAACTATTGAATCAGCAACGATTGGAGCTGCAGCTAGAGTCCTTGCTACCATATATCCGGTTGAAGGGTGGACCATTCCAGCTGTACCACCAATGCCGACAACTCGTTGAGGGAGCACTGGAAGAGGTCCTCCCATAGGAATCACACAACGCTCGTCTTCTTCAATGCTTTTCACTTTTATACCTAAGTGCCTTAACCGAGCCACCATTCGTTCTTGAATATGTTCTATAGGTAGGCCAGGCCGAGCAACAAGGGAAGTTTCTTCAAGAAATATCTGCTTGGATGAAAAGGGCATAGCATAGAGAAAAGTGGGAATCTTACTATTTCTCGCTTTTAGTTCCATATTGTTGTTAAGATGGGAATCTCTCCAATCCATGAAAACCATTTTATTTACATCGAATGGGTGTTCTTCAACTTCAGCCAAAATCCCATAAGCCACTTGGTACCCGGGATTGTAGGGCTTATCATACTGAACAAGGCACCTAGAAAAGCCAGTTGCATCAAGAACTACGGCGGCTTGAACAGTGACACCATCGTTGCAAATCAACAAAGATTTTGATTCCTCGTGAATCACTTTTATAACCTTGGCTTGATGAAACTTAACACCGTTTAATATGCATTTTTGCATCATCTTGGATTTTAACTGCCTCCTATTAACCCTCCCATAAGGCCTATCAAGATTTTTAGTTGAGTGGTCATCAACGAACACGACAGCACCAGACCAGGTAGTGTCAAGGCAATCAAGCAAATCCATGGCCTCAAACTCATCCACCCAAACACCATAGTTATTGGGCCATATCAGTTTGGGAGATGGGTCAATTGAGCACACAGAAAGCCCTGCCTCTGAAACTTGTTGCGCAACTGCCAGCCCTGCGGGGCCGCCTCCAACCACCGCTAGGTCCACCACAAGGCCCTTTGAAGGGTCATACAAGGGAAGCTCAAAATCAAGATTTTCTTTCTTGGTCTCAGGAACAAGCTCCAAAAGGGCACTACTTCTGGCCTTCAGAGAACCATTCTTACCCAATTTCAAATGAGGTTTCTTGGGACCAAACCTAAATTCCTGATTGTGTGGCTTTGAAGGGCTCAAACTACAGCCCTTTTCTACAAACCCATGAAGTGGGTGAAGAAATTCAAGCTTGTTATGAATCTTGAGCAAAGTATCCATGAAATTTCCAACTATAAGAATCAATTATCTCAAGAAATTCCCAAACGGGTCTCCCAAATTCCCTGAAAACACAATCTGGGTTTCAAGAATTTGCCCAATTTCTCAACATATTTACACAGAAACTGAAGTGTGTATGTTCAAGAACTTGCAAAATCACCATATAATTGCAAGAAAACTGAAGCTAATAGTTGAAGTAAAACAGGGCATAGAGAGTTGAAGACTTACCGGTGGAGAGGAGAGAGAAAGAAGCAATCTTTGGAATTGAAGAGTGATGAATCTTTGGGGGGTGAAGCATGTGTGGCCCGTCCTCAATGACAAACCCGAGTGGGTCTGCGTCATTCAATGAGTAAAAATGAATATCCTCAAATAGCTTTTCTTTTTTTTTAATAATTGATCATTTGTCATCTCAGCCGTTGACTTCATAGCACTCCAGGACAATAATTTGAACATCGGACGGTTGAGGTGTCTCCCTAGTACAATAAAAAAAAATTATTTTCTCAATTTTATTTTTATTTTTTTTAAAAAGGATAAAGAAAAGGATGTAAGTGCAATATTTTGTCCTCTTTTTTTATATGGATTTTATCCAATTTTTATTGCTTAATTTGGTTATTTTATTTTATTGTGAAAAGCTTACCTTTATTTCATTTTTTTTTTGTAAAAATCTCCTACTAAAATAAAACCAATTAATATGAGTAAATTATCCCGTATACTAAATACTCTAACATGCCTAAATTTCATTTTAAAATTACGGTAGCGATTGGTAGCTCGAGAGCTTCGGCTCGAAATTGGCTCGAAAAAGTGAGAGAAAAGGAGGAGGAGGGAGAGGGAGAGGGAGAGGGAGAGGCTGGAGGAGGGCGGAGGAGGAGGAGGAGGGACTGGAGGGGGCCAACATATCGGGGTGGAGGCGGAGGCGGAGGAGGGGCTGAAGCGGAGGGCCGGGGGCGAAGGCGGAGGAGGGGCAGAGGGCGCGGAGGCTGCGACGATCGGGCAGAGGCGACGGCGGAGGGCTGCGACAGACGACCTGCCTCCTCTCTCTCTCTCTCTCTTTCTCTCTCTCCCTCTCCCTCTCCTCTCCCTCTGGTTTCAGACCAGCACGACGAAGAAGAAGAAGGGAAAAAAAAAAAACAGCTCAAAACGATGTCGTTTTGGGCTGTCGAGCCGTTCGAGCCACCGCACTCTCGAGCTACCACGCATTTTCCTTAAAATTATTTCATCACTTTGAATAATCACAAGTTTTATCAAATTGGTGGTTTTTAACAAAATTTATTTTTTTTTTATCAAAATTTATCAAATGAGATTCATATTATATATGAAATTTTGTATTAAAAAAAAAGAAGAGAAAGATATTATTTCACTATTTGACTTGACATATAGTGAAATTTTATGCAAGAAGAACAAAAGATTTTTAGAATTAAATTATCTCGTCTACTTTTTGTGGTATACTGTATTTTTTGGGTCTTTGGATTCATTATGAGTCTCATTTCGATTATTTGAATTGCTTTATCTTTTATTTATTTTTTATATCACAAAGTGTAGATCATCCATATAAAGGTTAGGTTGATCCAATAATTATACCTACGTTAGTTTATGATATTCATTTGCAAAAAAATAAAGGGTAAATTATTTATAAGTCCTATTTAAAAGATTTATACAAGATATGGTCCTATAAAAAAAATTATAACCCAATAAGTCCTGTAGTTTTCTTGTGGACACATATGCCCCCAATCTTAATTAATTAATAACCTCATTAATGATAATATCATATATAGGAAATCTCATGTTATCATAGATTGTGATTATATCTATATGGTTAGAAATTTGAAATTCAAAATAACGTAATTAATGGCAATATCATATATGGAAAATTCAATATTACCATAGATTATGATCATATCTATATGGTTGGAAATTTAAAATTCAAAACGTCAATGTAATATGTAACATCCCAAACCTAATGTGACATTTCCAAACCCAACATGACATTCTCAAACCCAACGTGACATTCACATATGCTTCTAAAATTCAAAATAACTTGATTAATAGTAATACCATATATAAGAAATTCAATATTACCATAGATTGTGATCATATATATATGGTTAGAAATTTGAAATTAAAAACATAAATGTAACATGTAACATCCCAAACTCAATGAGATATTCCCAAACCCGACATGATATTCTCATATGCTTCTCATCCCAAACTTAACTTAAATGTAACATGTAACATCTCAAACTCATCGTGACATTTCTATATGCTTCTCATCCCAAACCTAAAGTGACATTCCAATATTCCACCGTTGAATTATGAATAATGTAACCTCCTAAATATAACATGTAACATCTCAACCCAACCCAACCCATATATTGAACCACCATCACCCCCAACCCAGCGTAACTTTAACATCGAACGATGAGATTCAATCCACATTCAATTACAAACCCAAATCTCAAATAATTTTGCGCAACGTACTGTGACATATATGTAAACACTGATTACAACAGAGACACGATACACATTCAAACACATATACAACCGAACAAACACACAAATGTCATCTACTACGTGGTGCATGTGATTTAATGTCACACACTAAATGTAACATGCATCATAACACGATCATCCAGGTTCCAATGTACAATTGTCATCCTACAACGTGGTTCACATTCGACATACAGTTAACAACCAAAATCAAATACCCCCAACCCAACCCTTGAACCCCATACACACCACTCCATACACTAAATATATCAAAACGCATCTGTAGACGTCCCCGAACGTCCCGAGAGGGAAATCCCATTTTGTTCATATGGGCTCACTACAGTTCAGGACTCAAATGTCACGGTCCTGTATCTAATCTCGCAGAGTGCAATGCAAGACCCATGAATCATCAAAGAGTCCAAATCCGGCAAATCGTTTTTTGAAAACAGATTTTTTTGAAAGAAGTGCCAAACATGGACTGCTTTTTCAGATACAGAGTCGCCACCTAAATATTTTATTTTGGAAAATTTAGGAATGTCAAACATGGATTGCTTTGCCAGATACAGAGTCGCCACCTAAATATTTTATTTTGGAAAATTTAGGAAACCCTGACTCGTTTGCCTAAGGCCACGTGTTCGTCATCACCAAAGTTGCCTCGGCTCAGGAACTTGGGTACGATTGGGGAAGGTCACTTCGTGAGCACCCCCGCTCGTCCGATCAATGATCGGCCTCTACTAACCATGATATCGAGTTTTGAAAACATTATGTGCTCTTATTCCGGTTATTAGCCTAGATTTACTACGTAATGCACACAGCATACAAGTATAGATTGGATCGCCTGAATTGGGACAAAACACCTCATGTTTGCTTTTGAAACGATTTGCTACTCGCAAGTAGGCTAAAATGCGAATTTGCCACCCTCAGGTGGGCCTAGAAAACAAGATGATTTGCCACTCTCAAGTAGGCTTAAAACTCACAGTCAATGCATTATTCCAATTCAGATAATCCAACCTCCACCCACAGGCATTCAGGCAGGTATATCACATAAGCAGTTAGCCTCATGGTAAACATGCTATCATGGCAGTCACACACACGCATGCGAGGATGCTAAAGCATAAACACTTACCGAGTACTCTGAGCCAAAACAGAAACTAGTTAGTAATCAATGCATGATCCTAGTTCATGTTAAGATGGCTAATGCAACACATGTAAAACGCAACTAGAAATAGGCTCGGTTATCCTAAGAATGGCATATGAGATGCTACAGCTAACACGTATTCAACTTGGAATTAGAATACAATGCAGTTAGTATGATACGTCGAGCTCGGTGCATGCAATACAGATGAATGATGCAAACATGCAAGCATAAGTATGCTAATTGAAACATGTCCTAATCTAACTGGATTGGTTCCAATTTTTTAGGAACCGTAAATAACGGATTGGTCCTGGTTTTATCCCAATCCGGTCCAATCCGGACCATGCTCACCCCTAGCCCTTGCTCGGAGGGTCCGAATAAATAATACAGTCCGAATAAATAATTAACTGCTCTAGCTAATTAAATATTACAAAACCCTAATTAATCAACAAATTAACTAGGAAAGCAAATAAATTAGCATGCAAGCTAAATGGACCGCCCCAGCTCTGTTCCGAATAATGAAAGATGCATGCATGCTCGAGCTGCCTCGTCGGGAAATTTCATCGCGACGTCTCGCCTCACCCTTGTTTGCAATTGATCTCAGAAACTTGCACAAAGCTCCAGAAGGCTGAAACTCCACCTTGGGAAGGCCACCGACCAGTTATTAGCATGGGAGACCACTTGCCGACCACCCTTTGTGGTGGAGACCAAAGAGGGTGGTCGGCCTACCAGAAAATCTGGTCGGCCAACCAGTTTCTACCTCTAGTTTTTGATTTTTCTGCAACAAAGGCAAGAGAGAAAAGGCAATGTGTTTTCAACAAATGTGTGCATGACCACTCTCCCTATCATTGCACAAGCTCTAAAGAGTGTAGTCCTCGATCCTCGTGCCATCAATCACTCATCTCGATGCATAATGGCCGAGGAGTCGAATTGCACGACTCAATGGGACATGAATGTACATATAAGCAACTAAAGCCAACGACTCTATCATGGATAGTCAAGAGTGTCGGCGATCGAGAATCGAGGCACGATTCGTCACTTGGAGTACGAAACGTCCCTCGTCTCCCATGTTTGGACTAAACCCTACTCCAAATACAATGCAACATGCATGACATGCATGAATGCAACTCTAACATGCAACCTAGATGCCATGCCACTGAATGACGCAAACATGCAAGTGATGACATGCAAACATGCTACTAGCATACACAATGCTATGAAATAATCAACGGCATACTCAATGCAAGATGATTCTATATGGCATACACAATGCATATGAAGACTAACAAACACAATGAAACGAACAAGGCATACACAATGCAATGATCAAATCATGCAACAACGTGAACTAAATGGCATACACAATGCAAGATGGACTTAAACCAATATGAGTGGACCTCAGCCACACTCAAATCAGTGGCCATATGATGAAAATGAGGCAACAAGATACATGCAAACATGCACGAATGCAAAGGACCGATCCTAAGGCACAACATGCAACTCTAACAAAGCATGGCAAAGGATGAAATATGGCATAGAATGGCACATGATTCAGCTCTGAAATATGATACACAATGGTCCCGAATCATACAAACACTTCACACGATGCATGTTAAATGGCCCGAATACCGAAACTAGTGAAGTGCATTACACTAGAGGTACACAAAGCAATGCACAAATGGAAAAACTAACCATAAATAGACCCTAGGTAGGTCCAAGAC